TAAAAAAGTTTGAATAGCAAAGTCATTTGAAAAATATATTACATATTCTATCTCTATAGTTCTACAGTGTAATGTTTTCTAGATGGGTCCATTCATCTAGTCAAAAATTGAGTGTCTGTTCTGTGCCAGGCACTGTTGTAAGCTCTGTGAATACCATAACAAAACAAAGCCACAGCCCTCATAGAGCTTATATTCTCATGGGATGAGATGCACATATAAATAGTAAACAAATAATTATGTAGTGTGTCATAAGGTGAACCGTGCTTGGAAAAAAATAATTAAGCAGGGTGAAGATGCAGGGAGTCTCAGCAGCTGGGCAGCGCACGCTGTTTTATTTAGAGTGGGGCAGGAAAGCCTCATAGATAAGGTGATAATTCAGTGGAGGCCCAAAGAAGGGCAGTAGCAAATCATGTAGACTTAAGGATGAGAGAAGGACTGCTCCAGGCAGTGTGGTCAGCAAATTGTAATGTGAGAGTGTGCTTGTCAGGTAAGAGTAGCAGCCCTGGTAGAGCCTGAAGCCAGAGAGGTAGCCCAGGAGGCAAGTTCCTATATATTTAAGGCAACTCTGTGTGGAACCTGTGGGCAAGAGGCACCAACTCTACTTACCATGCAGAAGGGATTAAGGTGGGGGATGAAATGGTAAAGGGGATAAAGAGGCACAAAATCTCAATAATAATGTGAATTAGTCATGGGGATGAGAGTACAGCATAGAAAGTATGGTCAATGATTCTGTACCATCTTCCTAGGTTGACAGATAGTAACTACACGAGTTGGGGTGAGGATTTAATAATGTGGGTAACTGTTGAATCACTGTATTATACACTTGTATATACACTTGTATATAATACTCTATATCAACTATACTTTGATAAAAATAAATAAAGATAAATAAATAAAAGAGGCACCAGCTAATTAACTTGTCATATACAGTGACCAGTAAACACAGAAAGGATACTTAACCCATTTTTAAAGAAAAGAAATAAAAATAAAGTAACTTTGTTTTTGGCCTGACAGATTAACAATATTGTTTTGTGTCATGTTGGTGAAAACATAGGAAAATGAACTATATCACATTCAGTTAACAGGGAGTGTACACTTGGACAATATTTCTCAAACAAAACCCCACATAGAAAATTTTAATTTTAATGCTTTTGACTCTGTCCTTTTAGTTCTGAGGTTATTCCAATAATATTATCAGACAGAAACCTAATACATATTTACAAAGAAATGTGTATTATAAAATACTTAAGAGAATGAACTTGGAAATTACTTACATTAGCAAAATACACTCTAATACACCCATTAGATAGAATGTTAGGCAGCTGTTAAATGTGGAAGAGACAAGCAGCTGAGACCCATTGTCTCTTTTTCCTCCCTTTCCTAATAGAAGCCCCAGTTTGTTTAGCTGGGCAAGTGGAACCATGCAATAAATACTTCCTTTCTCAGCTTCCATTGCAGCTATGATTCGCTTAGTGACTAAGTCATGGGCAATGGCTCATAGAAAGGAACTGTGCTCTGAAAGGGAAGAGGCAGGTGCTGTTTTGCCTCCTCTCTCTTGCAGACTGGAGTGTTGCACTTTTAATCATAGTGAAGGCTGTAGCTCCAGCAGCCCTCTTAAACCAAAAAGTGACCTTTGAAATATAAGGCACTCACTGAAGAATGACAGAAAGGACAGCATGGGGTGAGGACACCACAGGGACACCCCCAGCCCTAGATGCCTTCCCCCAGACTTCTAAGCTTATGTGGTTTATATTACTGATGCTTCACATTGCTGTTATTCACTTTAATCCTGGACAATTGTTAAAAAAAAAATACAGGTCATAGGTGAGCCTACATGCTATGTTGCTAAAGATATCTGTGGGTCTGTATATGCGGGGCGGGGAGGAAGGAAGACTGCAAGGTGGAGGAGAGGGACACAGACCATCCCGCGGAAGACGTGATGTCATTTTAACTTTCGTCTTTATAACTTTCAATTCTAATAGGGTCTTTCTACATAATCTTAATGTGCTCAAGATTAAAACAAAAGTGTTTTTTAATACTTGTACTAATTGGCCTTCATCTACTGATTGAATTAAAATAATGAATAGACACATGTAGACATATATTGGGTAATTTTTTTTAACTTTACAACACTTGATAATTTTAAGTTATTACTAAGGAATAAATTCAGACTGGTCTTTATATATGTTTTTAGGTACCTTACAAGTGAATTCAGGGAAAAAACGTTTCAGATATTTCAGGGCTCATAAAAATACCACTCATAGTTCAATGAAAAACTATTAAAAACATCCTATGATAAAGTTAGAAATAAATCAAATGAGAATCCTATCTATACATGTAAATATGGGAGTTCTAAATTAAATATTGGCAATATTATTTCAAGTGGAGAGTAAATGAAATATCTCTATAACAAAGATTTCATCCCAAGAATATAATCATTGCTTAATATCAGGACACTTATTAATATATTCATGTAAGTAGTTCAAATAGAAAGATCATACTTTCTATTTCTTCTATTCTACATAAGGACCGAGGTAACATTTATCCCTGGAAGGCAGACAAAAACCATTTGAAAAACACCAATGTCAATATACATTTTATTATGAAAAAAGTCTAGCATAAATTAAAAGGAAATATTATATTAAATGTGAAATCCTGGAGTTATTTTCATTAAAATAATGACTGAGAATGCCCACTATCACCGAATTTTCTATTTTACCTAGAGGTACATGATAAATATAAAACTTCATGAAGTTTTGTGATAAGAGCTGTGAATCATGCAAGGAGGAGACAAATTTCTTATTTTCCAATGATAAAATTTTATATGCAGAATTTTCAAAAGAAAAACTAAGTGAAAAATTCTCTAGATAAATGAATGTTCAGTAAGTCTGCTGACTTGTTCACATATATTTGAGAATCAATACTGCCTATCATTTTCTTAACACTGATGGCAATAATCAATTGGAAATGATGGAGGAAAAGAGGTCTTGTTCAGAAAAGTGAGAAAATAGAATCTGCCGAGGAATACTCTTATCCAAAAATTTGAGGAGGTTCTACAAAGAAAAATATAAACCTTCATTTAAAGATTAAAAAAAGAATATGTGGGTTAATGATTACCTAAAACACGTTTTAGGTAATCAAATGCACATATTTAAATCTCATTGAAACCCCATTTTAATTGTCCTAAAAGTTGTAACATCATTCTAAATTTCACCCAAAAGCATGTAGAATACAAGACTAACTAAGGCAAGTGTGAACAAGGGAGGACTAGTGTAGATTATAAAATAATAGTGATTCACAGTGTGATGTGGCATAGTCTTGAAAGATGCACTAGTGCATGTAATGACTTCTACTATAAATAACTGCCCACCATGTGGTAGGCAGTGCTCTAAGGGAGGCACTTTGTATACATAACATACATTGCTCTCCATGGGTCAAGTGTGAGTGTATTCACTTCTTACCTGGAAACAGCTGTCAGAGAAACTAACTAATTTATTTTAAATGGCACAATTAGAATTTTATAAATGCAGGATTTAAAAGGACTCAAATTCTGTGTTGGAGATACTAATTACAGAGAATGATTTCCTGACTTCTTATTTTCTACACCAGATTTTCAGAGACTTGGCTGTTTTTTTTTCCATGCAAAGGAATATCAGAATATCTAGTATATGCTTACGTGAAGACTATTGTTTTGTTTTGTTTTGAAGCTAGTTTGAGTGGATTTTAATCCTTTGTAGTCAAAGATTTCCTAATGTAGATACCAAAGTCTAGTATCTTTATTTTATTCTTCCAAAACAAATAGCTCAGAGAACAGTCTAAATTAATATTAAAGACAATGTTATAATTAGTAAGAAAATGAAGCATGATTCAAGAAGTATATCTTTGGTAATCCATTGAAGAAATATCAATAATATCCTCAGGAATAATATCCCCTAGTTCACAGAATATAGTTTACATATAGTTTAGAGGATAAAAAGAATCCTAAGAACAACTATAAGAAATTGTAGATAGAGTACATATCTAAATTTTAAAATTTCTTGAAACAAACACTGAAAGTAATATAAATGGATTCCATTAGTGGAAATTTGAATGTTCTACATATCACATATTATCATACACAAAATTTAACATCAAACAACTAAGTGAAAAATTTCTTGATAACATATGACCATGAGCTAATGTTATTATGCAGAAAGGATTTATACAAGTTGACAAGAAAAACACACAGAACTTGAAACAAAATAGAAAAATAACATGAATTAATAATTCACATTCACTTAACACTGATGGCAATAATCAGTTGGAAATTATGGAGGAAAAGCAGTCTCATTCAAAAAAGTAAGAAAATATTAAAAACTAGCTAATAAAGATGTTGAAGAAGCCAATGGTAGTAACAAAAAATATGTCAGTGAAACTGACTTTTTCATTAAACTGGCAACAATATGAAAAAGACACTTCTCTTTGTTTCTCTGCCAGTAATTATCTCAGATTTCTTGTATGTATATGATTTGACAAAATTTTGACAATAAAAAGTATAAAAATATTTATACTTTCATATAGAAATTGTGCATTTAGTAATACATTCCAAGAAAATAAACTTGTAACTAGATGAAAATAATCATCATCACGTTGTGTAGGAGACAAATATTGAAAGCAGCATCTAAAAGTAAGGTAAGGGTTTAAATAATACATATTATACATGTCTGATGGAATATTAAAATATAAAAAATCATATTTAGGGCCTGTTTTATTGCTGTTAGTAACGGTTATGACAAAATAACAAAAGAAAAGACACAAAAGTGATTATACAAAATTCATGAACTTTATAAAATTGAGTTTACTATGAATAGAGTTGCAAAAAACTTAAGAAGCTTTATTTCTTCACTAACTTGTTTTTTATGTGTTTCTACACATAAAATTTGTTTTGCAATGAGCATGATTTTCCTTTATGTTAAAATGAGAAAGCAAGTATAAATTTAAAAGAATTAGTTAAACATTACCTCAGCAACAGTATAAGAGTGACTTTAACCTGGTATTTGTGGAGGGTGAGCAGTTGGGAAATTTGACATGAAAATATTCTTTCACAAAATGTGACCTAAAATAGTAACCATAATTCCTCTATTTTCCTGGAAAAAGTTGAGAGAAGAGAACATGAGTAACTGGGCTATTGTAGGTAAGGTATAAAAAGAGCTAATCTCTACTGTCATACATCTTCACAGAAGGGCTGTGGGTCTGTCATCCCTGAATGGGTAGATCTGCAGTAGCGCTTAACTGCCTGAGCATAGATCCAGCAGTAGTCAGCTGACACTGTGCAACAGGCAGGCTTATCCCAGACAAGGGATGTGACTCAGCAAAACTGACTTCCTGGGGAGCAAACCAAACACCAGCTGCTGCGCTGTCCATAACACATCCAATTATTTTGTTTTGTGCATGGATCAGAACTAAGTATTTTCCACTCACTAAGTAGGTGCTTGAAAGAAATGAGGACTGAAGGGTTTTCTAGCTGGCCACCACTGGACTTAACATTTCTTATGCAATCATTATACTATGGTCAAAGTAAAATAAAAACAGGGTTTCACCAAGAACCTTTAAGAAAAGGTAGATAAGATGAGCATCAGTGACTCCTGGGCACCTGTCCTGTGTAATTTTTCTCCATTCTATCTAGACTTCAGGTAGACTCTAAGCTGGCAGCACCCACATCCACTTCTTGGATTTGTTTACCTGAGATGCTTCTTGAGTTTTAATTCCCAGGGAAGAGGTAGAAATAACGTGTCATGGATACTCTTTCAATCGTGGGCATCTGGGTCAATACTTTTGGGATTTCGAACGAACGTTGAACCTAAAGTAGTAAAGAAAACCTTTAGAGATTTTTAAAAAGGGAAATCTGAACTTCTTTCTCAGGAGTGAGAAAATGTATAGTGTCTATCAATGCTGTGTCCAGATAGTATAAACAAAAGAAATTTTTAGATTTTCCTTAGATATAGTGCATATACAAATAAAATAGTACTTTCAAAAGTGTTCCCTGAATATGCAAGCTTATCAGAATCAAAGAAACTCACATCGTTCTGGATAGTACACCAAAAAACTTCCTCTTTAAATAAACAAGGAGTACAGGAAGGAGCATCAGAATGACTTCATAGCTTTAGGATTCTTGAAAAAGGTTTGAAAATGGTTCTACAAAATTTACTGGGGCATAAAATTGAAAAGATAAGATTCCTACCTTTCGAAAAATCTCCTCCAAATGATAACACCAAGAATATTCTTTGAAGTAGTAGATTAGTTGAGAAATGAAGAGAGAGCCATCTGTGTCAAGTCTCCAAGAAACATTATCTATAAATAAAAGGTATGAAGATATTGGAGAATGGCCTTTATATAAGTGTGGAAGATTAGAGCCATAGCTTTTGGACAAAGTTTGATTTCAGCACTTCGGAAGAGAGAGGTTGCCAAATCAGAATAAAGTTGGAATCTCAGGTTTCCATAGAAGACCCAGAAAAAAATCATCATATATCTGCTTGACTTTCTTAGTAAGCAGGGTGAAAGTTATGACCCCTAAGATTGCAAGTGGGAGAAAAAAACCGTAAGTCCTTTTAGCCCTTGTTACACAATAGAAAAGAATTATCCAGCTTTTGACATTCCTTGATTCTGGATCTCCATTGTTTTCATCCATACTGTTACTTACTCTAATACTTTGCACTTACTTTTTTATTGTGTAAGCATCTTTTAAATTACTACTTCCTTCTACCATTGTAATGTTATCAAATCTCTCCTATCATTAAAAAAAGCTAATATTCTCTTAATTGTCACTTTATCTGTAGCTACCTACCCTCCTTCCTTTTCATAATTAAATTTCTTGAATTAGTCTCTACTCACCATCTTCATTTCCTCCTCGCCTGCTTACTCCTGTCTAGCTTCACCCTCCCTCACTAACTTCACTGAATGGCTTCTCCAAGGCCATCCATAACGTCCAGGTCGTTAGATCTAATGGTCATTTATTGGTCCTCACCTTCATCTGATCTCTCATTCTCATTCAAAACTGTTGGTAACTCCAACAGACTTTTTCTAGGTAACTGACAACACATGTTCCTAGTTATCTTTCTTATTCTCTAACAACACCTTTTCAATCTAACTCACTAACACTTCTACCTGATCTTGAATCCTGGAATTATTCAAAACTCAGATTCAGGATCTCTTATTCTGTTCTCTGTTCCTAGATAATTTCAACCATTTTTAGAATATTAAATATCATCCTTAGGCAAACATCTCCCCAAATT